AGCCATTCCGTAGTCCCGGCAAAGTTTCTATATATTTCATTGAAAAAAACGCCGCTTACAACGTATTTGTATATAACGTAGATCGCTTATAAAGTATTAGAAATTTGGTCCCGTTACGTAATTTCACCTCTTATAACGTATTCTGACACGTGGTTTCACACCTTTTCAGAGTTTTCTACCAGCTCAGTGACTTCGGATTAGTCACGGTTTGTTGACTTCATAGCTTCTCCGTAATGGGTGTTTTTCTAACGAGATATCTTTGTTGTTTCAGGTAGATGTATTTATAATAAATTGAATAAAGTTCATCGAGTAGATGTACTCATAATTGTTTGAATAAAAATTAACCTTTGAGTCAGTAAATAGAAATATTACCGAAAATGATATAATTAAACTAGTGAAAGAAAAATACATTGATTCAATAGTAGACCGCGACGACAGCGAGGACGACGAGGCCATCCCTGACACATGCATACCATCTACCCAGACGATCAAAGGGCATTAGTCCGAAGTTTTGACAACTCTGGCAACTCTGGAGACTTTTGTAAATAAATGTCAAATATTTCAGACAAACATTACGGACTCTTTATATGATCTGACGATCATCAAGATTGTACAGCACAAGTGGGTTTTGATATAATTTATACTTTGTGAAAATAAAATGTTACTGAATATTAATCTTTCTTAATATAAGAAATGAAACCAAATATACCTGTAAGTCGTTTATTTATATACTATACGTACTTTAAAATATTAATACATGTAACACACTAGCGGTTTGAAAAATGCTTACGGTAAAGGTGTTCTGAGTACTTCCGGTCTCCGTTTATAACGTACACCGGTTATAATGTAGGATTTATCACAGTCCCCAGAGATACCTTATAAAAGATTTTTACTGTATTAAGAATACTTAGCAAATCCATTGCTTTAGTGTCGCCTGCCCATATACAATACGTTATTTAAAAATAAGATAAAATTTGTAGTTAATAAAATATCTGAAGCTTAAGAATGAGATTAAAAGAACAAACTTTATTTATTTCCATAAGAAAATATCACATCAATTCAATTGAACAATCCAGGAAAAATGCGCGAAGATAATTTACTCGTGACATTTGGCGCAAAATGATTGTGTTACCCCTTTTGTAGAGGAAAAATGGACTGATCCAGTAGTCTAGAAACGCAGAAGAAATGTTACACTGGCATGTCCGTATAAAGAATCGTAAAGAGAAAACAGGCCTAGGTAGTGCATGCAAAAAAAAAAAAAAAAAAAAAAAAAAAAAGTAAACACATCATGATTTTGCATCATTAATATGATTCTTTCTTCTACAAACTTGTTTAAATGCAGGTAACAAATTCCGATGTAAATCAGCCTGCACAAAATCTAGATCATTAAGTATGATCCCTTAGATTCGGATCATAGATAAATTGATCCTTTTATTGCCCGACGCTGGCGTCAAGCAAACACATTGTACCTAGCTTTTTTGCATCGAATAAGAGGTCATGGAATCAAATTATTATTTGCAAGCAAAATTTTAAAAAAACCTAAAACAAACAAACAAACAAACAAACAAAAAAAAAAAAAAAAAAGAAACAAAAAACAAAAAAACAAAAAAAACAAAAAAAAACCAAACCCCCCCCCCCCCAAAAAAAAAAAAAAACAAAACAAAAAAACCAAAAAAAAAAAAAAAAACAAAAAACAAAAACAAAACAAAAAAAGCTTACATGTTTACGAATATAAAAAAAAATACTTGACTGCATCAACATTAGTTAAAGCTATATAAACAAGTAAAAAAAAGTTCTAAAGAGTAAATGTTAGGAAAAACAATACGTAAGGATTTTTAGATCGTTTTAACTGGAAAAGAATGGTTTTTATCTCCAATACTTAAGCAAATAATCAGGGTTTATGGTGTGGAAACCCTCCACTTGATGTCGAGCGCATGTCATCTGGTTTCCACTTCCCACTTCCCACCTTGCTTTCTTCAACAAAATTGTAAGCAACTTCTCTGCCTAGAATTTGATGTTCTTCTCCATCACAAATAAATCCCACTTCGTATGTTATACATTTGTGGAAAGATTTAGTCACACTCTGTAACATGGATTCACTTCTTTTTCGAATAGCCAATATCACTTCAGGGAGCATTGCAATTTGAGAGTTGGACTGAAATATTTGAAGTTGAATTGTAGATGGAGTAACTGCTATGGCAATATTATGATTTTTGATATGCCTCAATGCTACAACCAAACGATAAAAAAGAAATACGGCAAAAAGTCGAACAAGTATACAAGGACAGAGGACTTTGAATTCGACTTCTTGATTATCTCTTTCTGTGTTTCCCCAAAGTCCTTCTTATTCATGGAAGGAATGTAGTGTGTCTTGCCTTCACTAGAAATCAAACCAAATCTCTGCATGTACAACAATAATTGTTCTTTGTGGTACAATAGAAAACGAGGATCTTTTCCAAATTCAGCATTCTTTGATGACGTTTCAGTTCTCAAAAGTCTTTCATCTTCTGATATTCATATATTACTAAGAAGGGAATCTTTTAAATATCCTGTTTTGTAGAATTCATCCCAATCTTGTCTTCTGGCATGGATTCCCTTCACATGATTCCTATCCGTCATAATGAATTTAAATGCATTAACAAACCACTGGACATCAATAATCATGCAATTCCTAAGATATTCTTCATCAAAGTGAAGAACTTTCCCAGCATCGTGATAATACCGTAACATATCATTTGCCAATTCAAGCACTAGTTTTTCATCTCCTTGATGCCTAAATCGATTTTTAATTTCGTCAAGACTCATCACCCGCCTATGCTTCTCTTTTTGGATTGTTTCTGACAATATCAATTCACAGGGACTTTTTAAAAATACACAGAGACGTGGGCGTACTCATGGACATCGGTCCTAAATAAACCTATTATGCACAGTGTCTCGTTTGATTCACCACTATCTTATCTAAATAAACATTTAGGTCTTCATCACATTCGCATTCTTAAAAAAGAACCTGCCTTTTTTTCAAAAAAAAAAAAAAAAAAAAAAAAAAAAAAAAAAAAAAAAAAGGCAGAGGTTTTTACAGAAACCCCATTGGCTGCCGCCTATCGGCGTCTGAGGAACTTACAGGACATGGTGTTCATAAAGAGATTGGAATTTAAAACTTATTGCCTAATACATGTAGAGGCTTCAGAACTTGTTCTGACAGTAGATGCCTTCTGTAAGCATAACTCTGATGCAGAAAACTTTAATAGCCCTGTTACAGGCCGTAGCTACGGAATACTAGGGAATTTGTCTTGTCGAACAGACTTTTGTGATTTTTCTTCCTCAATCCGTTTGTTTACTCAATGTTACGAAAGAAAGGAAAAAAGAACTTGAAAGGAGTAAAAAATGAATGAAAATAAAACTCCTAAAATGGTTATTTTATAGAACTCTTCTCCCTGTAGTTTAATTCATGCTAGACACGGAGACGAAGAATAATAATAGAACGTCTGCTTTTGTAAGCAATATATCATATCAATATATCATATTTCAATGATTCCGATGCTGTGATATTGAATTTCAAAGAAGAGTAAGCAAGTGTGTACAAAGGTATCACGGTATTTACTTACCTGAACAATGTTAATACACAATGGTCTCGTGACAGAATCATTTTTTAAATAATTCGGATTTTTCGTAAGTCAAGTGATTTCATTTTTTGGAAGAATCCACTTTGAAAAGAAACAAGAAACGATCCGTTAAAGAACTTTATACGGTAAAGGCATATCCCTGCCCCCATAAAAGTCCAATTTTGAAAGTCATTTGTAATGTGTGCAATGTGAGCAATTGTATATATTCTATAAACTAAACCTGACTTTTCAAAAATGCATGATAGACTGTATGGGACAAAATTATTGGCTTTTTTGTATTTGTGACGCAACGGACTATTGAAATTTCCCTTTATATATATTTTAAAAAAGAAAAAAGAAAAACACACACACACAAATTATGTTCAATTTCTACGTAAGTTTTTATAGAGCACAAACTTGCTCAAGAACTATTTTCACACATTACATCGATATTAAATTATCGACGTAAAATGCACTATTTTCTTTCGAAATCATTGAAATTACGTTGTAATCTAATCTAACAGCATTATTTTAAACAAATAATATATTAATTTTGTTTAAAATCATTATTTTTTTCCAAAAATTATTTCGAATATGTTACGATTGCAAACAAGGGACTAGTCTTTGGAATCTTATTTTAAATTTTAATATTTTTTTTGTATCATTTCAGGTATTTTAGATATATTTTTCACTCTTAATCCTTGAGAACTATTATATTGCAATCCTTTAGATGATTCAACTTCACAAGACTCCCAAACACAACGTAACATTAAGAAGAAAAACCTTATTCTGGAAACAATGTTGCATTTCCACGATATTTTATTTATTGTTTTGCGTCATCTAGGTAGTTATTCTTTGTACTTTCATTTACCATTGGAGCTTTAGCAACTTTGACCCGATGTTACGTATAAAAGATCGAAAGATCCAAGAGGAGTTTTTTGGGAATATATTGGAGAAATGTGAGTATAGTTTTAAGATTGTTTATTGATGTTCAATACACTATTCTAAAAGTAGACTGGGGAAACAACTAAGGAAATAAATGCAAAAAAAAAAAAAATCTTTTTTTCTTCTTAAAAAAGCCTGTAATACAATCGAAATGAAGTCTTTAATGTGATGATATGCCATTATTTTAAGTGCGAATCCATAAAATATATTTTTCTCTTCAGGTATTACCTGGGATACTTCAGAGCAAGGACCGGAAAGGAAATGTCTATAATATCACAATATCTAAGTAGAGTATATACATTATATAGAAATAATTTATTCCTATCAAGAACAATTTGCAGTACGACGACTTATGTTACCTTTCAAGTTTATTGCTAAAATTATCCATAAAATGATATTTAAGTGCATTTTATTTGCATCAAGCATGAACATTGAATTTTTTTTATATCAGAAATGATACAAGGTAAAGATAATGAACAGATCTAAACAAAAATCCCTACAAACAATACAAATTTGTGAACAAGGCATGAATCACAGAAATCCGGAAATTACAGACATCCGGAAATCACAGACATCCGGAAATTACAGAGATGGGATCAGATGCCAAGGAGGAGTATGCGTTCCCTGACAACCGGTCTCACCTACCGTGATCCGATGTATAGATAAATCAATCTTACAGACATTCTAATCTAATTAGCAATCAAATTATTTTCAGTTGGTTTTAGAAAACCTGTTATAAACGATGAAATTAACTTGAAGGAAACATTACAGAAATACAGGTCTGGCAAGTGTGGGGGGCATTTTCTTCCTTCAAACTGCAAAGCACGCCAGAAGGTGGCGCTATTCATTCCTTTCAGGAACACATACGAACATTTAAAAATATTTCTGAACCATATGCACCCATTTCTGACGAGACAAGACCTGGAATATAAAATCTATATTATCGATTTGGTAGGTACTATCATACTTTCAGGAGGACTTATGTATGTTGTTGATCAGGCGACAAATAAAAAATCAATGTATTTATTCCTTTTATACTACAGCGTATATTTCGGTTGAAAGAAAAATACAATGAAAAATATATAATCCGACACCTGTGCAATTCTGAGTATTATTTTCATAACCATTTCAATGGAATAATATTCCATGTTCTTAACACTTTATAATCCGACACCCTGTCTAATCCGACACAAGATTAGTCTCCCAGTGCATGGCGAATTAAACAGATTTCAATGTATTCGTTGTAAGAGAGCAGGTTTTACGCTGGTGTAGTTTCATACAGCATCCATTCTGAGTATTCTTTTATGTAAACTCTAACCACTGCTCACAAAAGAGTTCTAATAATACGGTAGTTTTAATCAGTTAGAGTGATCTGACGTTTGATGTTAAATAGAATAAACTGAAATCTACTGTAAATAACATAGCTGGAAAAAGATTAAAGAATTCCTAACATTATATTAGATGGAGATACAGTTATTGAAAAAGATTTATGGGTTTTTACAACATAAGTATACAACAGTTATTTCTGTTTACTAATTCTTCATTCTCTTTAAACTTTTTCCTGGAGAAATATGTCAGATGTCCTATGTTAAAAACTAGATAGACTCAATATAAACACCATTAAATGATAGAGTAAAATTAGAAACATCTTTCATTAGTGTTTAGAGCTTCGTAACGTGAATGTTTCCCTTTGCTGATTTTGTCAATAGTGATAATAATGATCACATGAAATGCACTAAGAAATTCACATGTTTCAAGAAAGATGTAAATTTATTTACCAAGAAAGATAACATGGTTCACGCGTTCTTTTTTCTACTTTGGTAGGCACGTGTCAGTTATAAATGTTTATTTATGTTATAAATATCCTTAACCAGAATGAAAGAATACTGATTAACAGAAGCCCCCTCCTAAATGTTCGGTTCCTGGAGGCCAGCAAGGATGAGGATTACGACTGTTATTTTTTCCACGACGTCGATCTTCTCCCAGAAAATGATTACAACCTTTATCGATGTTCCGAACTGCCGCGACATATGTCTGTATCAAAGGATAAATTCAACTATCAGTGAGAAAAAAGCAATGGCATATTAAAAAAAAAATCTTATGTTGTTCAAGTAGACAATGAACCAAATGCTTGTATCTCACATGTTTATTCCGTTATACAGTGGATATGGCTCATAGGATATCATTTTCATATCAACAGTTGTGAAGTCACAATGGTTTTTGCGTGAATTTGATCAGGTCAAATATTATAGATTTACATATATAAAACAGTATCATACATGAAATAGCTATGTGCAAAACATGTAATATTATGAGTCTCCCATGGTTTGTGGTTGGATAAGATTTCTTATCCAAATTTTTATGTGTTTTTATCCCCTTGCCAATGCTCCAGGATAAAAACACATGGATAAAAAGTCATATCCAACCACAAACACTGAGAGATCCTATATTTACTAAACTATGAAATATTCGATTTTAACACTAAAGATGTCAATACAAAAGCATAGAATAATAATGATGATATCATCAACCTTTATCATTCCAGATTGCCATACGATACATTTTTTGGTGGCGTGTCAGCCATGACAAAGGAGCAAATATTATTCGTCAACGAATTCTCCAACAAGTTCAGCTGCTGGGGAGGGGAGGATGATGATTTGTTTAACAGGTTAATGTAATTATTTATTAATTGAAATAATAATTATTTAATTAATTGAAATAATAATCATTTGATTAATTAGTAATAATTATTAATTTATTTGTTAATTGATTATATTCTCTTGGCTGTTCATCATTGATTATTGGAGTCTTATTTACATATGTATAGTAATATAATTTAAAATTTTGTAATTTAAAATTAAGTTTATATGATCTATATATGTATATAATTATATTTAAAAGTTTGATCTAAAGATCATTGGTTTTAGAAATACATTCACTCAATGTTATTTTATCAGGCTAATATTTCATAACATGACAGTCCTCAAAAGTATGAGTGATGTTTCTCGATATATAATACTCAATCATAAACAAAGCCCATTTAAACCCGCAAGGTATTTACCCTTCCAACCTTCTCTTTTTGAAACCCCTTCAATTTAAAAAAAAAAAAAGTAACTTCATGTGCAAGTGTCTTTCCGATTATTCTTTCTTGAACGTATATTTTCTTTAAATAAAAATGCAATGCAGTTCTTATGTAGGCGATACATGCATATTCCAGAACTATTGTGAGGTATACATGCAATTGTAAAAACGCTTTGTCTCGGTATGTACTGTCACCAGCGGCAATATGTACCTACCCTCATTGCACATTATATGTCGTTCATCTACTGTCAAACGCGACAATGTGTGCCTAGGTGAGCCGTTTTTCTGGATATCAATATATTTTTAGGGTTAATTCAAAATAAGTGGTGTAAATATTTCGGTATAAAACAGGTTGTAAAATTTTTCTTCTGGTTGAAATATGCATGACTGTCAATTTACAAAAGCACCAACAATAGGTAACGCACTGTGGTTAAGGAGAAATTGATTGATTTGCTCATTGGAATGTGTTTAAACTATGAAAAAACACTCCCTCGAAACTATTCGAAATGGTCTAACTAGGATATTTGTCCGAATATTATATGTATCCGTTTAAATTCTATAATTCTGTAAAGACTTAAAAAAAATGTCTTTATAAAATTCTATACTGAAAACAAAATCCTTTTCTCGGAAAGGATTTGTGTCAGAACATTTGTCGTCCTGTACATGTTGTTGCCGGTGACAATATGTATACCCTCACAGTACAATTGTCATCTCTCCGGGCATAATAACATCGGCGAGAACATGTGCCGAGAAAAGCATTTTTCTACCTGCAGAATGGGCGACAAATTGTATTTTGCATGTTTGCACATAGTGGGCGAAAATGTATGCCTCGAGAATTTGCATATCTTGTCGCCAAAAGTATTGTTTAAAGAATGCTGTATTGGGGTTTAGAAGAAGAGATCTAGATAATTGTTATTTTAATCATGTGAATTGCACCATTCTCTCTTCCCACAGGGCAATTTGTTTTTGTTTTTTTTCTTCAATCAAATATTTTTCTACAGCAACTTCGTTAGAGTTTTAATTACAACTGTGTGTTGAAAACGTTCATTTTCGTTTATTAATTATCCAATCTGATGACATTGTAGACATAATTTTCAATTTGGAACATCATTTCGTTGAAACTAAGACATATCATTAAACTCAACGAAATCCTATATTTCCGCTTCATTGTCCTTTAAAAAAATGACAAGTTTTGTAACATTTACACAGATTACATTCACCAAAATAAAAAAAAAAACCATCAGAAAAAACACCCCCCTCAAAAAAAACAAAACCTTAAGCAGCCCTAACTGTGTGGCGACAATATGTGGAGTGAGGGTATGTGTATATTGTGCATATTGTGTCCGAAGACAATATGTAATAAAAAATTAAGACATTATGTACCGTCACACGCTAACCCTGGACAGAGGTTGTTACTTGTCTTTTATTACATTACTGTCAACACACTTGACACGCATTAGATAACTGTTTTGAAAGTTGCTCTGAAAAAAAAGTAAATGTACTAGTATCTATGAGAGCAAAAGTTTCTGTTTCATCCCATTTTGCAGATATAATTCCAGCATTTTCCTTAATAGATTTAGGTATATTTCTTTACATATTTCGTAGATGCATTACTTCCCCCATCAAACAGTACCAAGCATTAAAAAACAGTACCCAGCTTATATTTTCTAAGCAAAGGAAGACTATTTTATTCTGATTTATACAGGACACATGATTCACCAGAAGGAATTTAAGCATATTTAGAAGAAACTGTTTCGTCAAAAATGGAAAAAAAAATTAAGATTGAAGGTTTTCGTGATAATAAAAGTGGGCCTTCATTATAAACGGCATGAATTTAATCACATTGCAAATGTCACGAAATCAGTTTTTCTTTGATGTCCCTGCAAATAATCTGATGGGATTGGGAAAACTGGGGAGATTTTACATATTTTTCCTATAAATTTGTAATGGATACACATATCTATTTTTTCAATTGTCTTTGTCCAAGATAAAACTATAATAAGGTAATAGCTTTGTATTCTCATAAAACGATTTACTCAGCAAGTGACAGAACTCCAAGTTTCGCGTTGTGCGTTGCTTAGTAATGCATTGGGAGGGACCTGCAGAGATTTCCCATTGTTGATCAAATCTTTTTTAAATGAGGCCATCTTTAAAAAAAGAAAATAACGTTTGCTTGCCCTCTCCTGACTTAAGATAAAAAATGGTCGGTAGGTATGGGGATTTTTTTTTTTAAAATTCAAATGCATTTGTGAATATCAGAGATAGAAATGAATGACTCTGCAAATGTAATGTTAAAATAGTCATTAATGAGATGAGGAAATAAAAACAAAATTTTCTGGAGGGAAAAAAAAAGTTTTGAGTCTGAGCATTTTTTGTCATTCGGTCGGGAGAGGGCAACAAACCCTTTTTTTTTTTTTAAGGATGACCTGATCAAAGGATCATTTGAAAATGTAAATATAAGGAAACACTGTCTGGTTTTTTGGTTCTATGATGATGACCAAAGTTTTTCTCGCGTTATGATTGATTGATTGTTTGTTGTTAAACGTCCCTCTCGAGAATTTTTCACTCATATGGAGACGCCTCTCGCGTTATAGTTTCATTCATAAACACCTTCGGTGTTTTATGCAAATCATCACGCGAACAAAGATATTATTTTAAATTTCCAAACGGTTCAAACTTCTTAGCACTGGCATAAAACGGGTTATGCAAGACGGTATTAAAAACTTGAAGTATAAGATGATGAAGAGGACAAATTATCCATTGTATACATACATCAAAATTTCATTGTAATATGGTTCTTTGTGTTTCTGAGAAGTTTTGTTTACCATCTGTTATAAATATACATGTATAGATTAAGTATGGAGGAAAACTGGAAAGGGTATTATTAAAGACTAAATTAAAACACACTGCATTGTTTCTTGTTCATTTCATAAACGTTTTCTCCCTGTAGTTTAATTCCGAAAGATAAACACACACGTGTTAAACTCCTCTGATCACTAATTTACTATTTCACTAATACACAAATAGTACTCATTCATAAATTGAAATAAATTAATGGATATACATTTGTAACACAGTGTATAAAAGACTTTAAAAAATATTTCCAATATATTTTGAATTCGCTGAAAAGGTTAAATTTTGCCCCCCCCCCCCGCTTCTTTGCTGACTAAGTGGGAAAAACACATTGTTAATGCGTCAACATTTTATTGATAATAATAACAACACTGACGTGACGGGTAAATGACTATGATATATGACTTATGACGTTGGATAACGTTGAATGACGATTTACTCCAAAATACAAAGGAAAATTACTATAATTACAAGATACTTCAAGTTAATTTACACATGATACACATCCTAGCAAAATAATTACGATGATCTCGAGTAGAATGTCATGGTAAGTCAGTACTTCACGCAAGCACACTTTGATGTCAACGTCAACTTTTAGAATTATCTATTATTGTGTCACTTAATACACGGCGCAGTTCACAAAGAGGTATGTCGTCAAACTCGTAATGTGATTGGTCGAATGGTTCCTGATTACCATATGCAAATCCCGCCTTCAGATAACAATTAGTGATAATTTGATTGGAAACCCTACTCCCTGATTCTGTTGATTCTATTGATCCACGTGATTGCTAGTGTCAATTTAACCGTGAACTCTTTGTTTTTGTAGATGGGTTTCATTTTTGCCTCGACAGCTGTTTACGATGGTGGGTTTTAAATTGTCCCTGATACTTTTCCATTAGTGCATTTACTGGGTAAGGCTAGCTCATGTACAAATCTTTGGTCTCTATTGCTTATTCAACTTGTGGATATGAAAAGCACTTTACCTCAAATATACGAATTTTAGTTCAACATCTTCCCTCACCATACAAGGCATATCAATATTAACCACTGCAGAGTAGCCTGTACTGACAGTTAAGTTACACGTTACATAATACCTTTCTCAGCAGGAGAATAGAAGACGTGTAATCCTCTTCCATTTGGGGGACAGATATCCAACTATTTTGCTTCAGAACATATATCTAAATATATTTGGCCAACAAGTCAATAGATTCACAAGTTAATACATTATCAGGTCCATGGTAATATCAGAAATAATGCAACTCGTGTCAAGTTTTTAATGCGCAATAGGCCTGTCCTGCAAGATGTCCTGCATCAAAGAATAAGCACCTATTTCTGACACATGGATCTCCTCTGATTTTGTGCAGATTAAGGACTATATAATTTAATTAGCCACCTACCATTCAAAATAGAGTACCGTATATACTCGCCTATAAGTCGGGGTCCGCCTATAAGTCGGTTGTATTTTTTAAGCTTATATTAGAGGGCTTGACCCTCTAAAATACCAATCTTTTTATAACTTGCCTATAAGTCGGACATAGAGTTTTGGACCAAAATTTAACTCCCAAAAATCCGACTTATAGGCGAGTATATACGGTATATTGCGTATAGTTCATGTAGGTATATACTATACATTTATTGAATGGGTTCGAGGGCAATGTGCGTTTCGTCGGACCCCAAAACCAAACTGTGCTTGAGGCCGTCAAACAAAAAGCAAATAGTTTGGCTCGAGGGGTCAACAAAACGCATTTCGCCAGAGAACAGTCAAAAACTGTTTTGTTATACCTTTAACTTTTCATTTTTACATATCTTGCACAAGCTTCCATCAGGCCCCATTCAAAGGTTTTGCAGCGCTCAGACTTAGAATATTCTTATCTTTTGGATAAGGCCTAGGAGTAAACCAACCGAACAGGATAGAGAATACCAAGATTTTGATAGGTAAAACTCCCATGGACACAGATTAAATCAAGGTACATATTTTTGCTATAGGAATTTTCACATTTTAAAAGTATAAGCTCAGAACAACATGGCGGACTGGTCGGTCGGCATAACGACCGTTCTGGTCATCACCATATTATTCTGCAGACTGAAATCAGCAGATGACACGTATACACTTATACAGCGATCAACCAGTCCTGCTGATGACGACTGTGAGATTAGCTTGAATTTTACGACACATCTAGATGATTATGTGCTGAATATTATCCTTTGTTCCTTTGTTTACTACCCGCCATGGTAGTCGAGTGGTCAAAGAAAAATTTCTATACAGATATATTTTCATACTCAGGCTTTTGCTAGCAGGGGATGTATCACTTCAATCCCGGCCCGATCAAGTTTCCATGCATAATTTGCAATAAGTAAACAAGGCGAAATCAACAACTTTTCAAATGTGTAAATTGTAAACAAAGATGCCATATCAAGTGTATCGAAATCGAAGAAATGATAAAAATAAACGAAAATCATCTCACATGGCCATGTAGTAAATGTTTTCAGAGATCAATTTGAACACTTCTACTACCTCAGATGACCTAGAAAGTGATAACGGCGAAGCATATAATATATTTGATCGACTGTGTGAAACTAGGTCACGAAATCCAAACAAGTTTATGTGTGCCTATCTGAACATAAAAAAGTATCCGCTTACATACATAAAAGAACTGCTTACAATTAAAACCCTCGAATTATTATTCCTTAGTGAAACGAAGTTAGACTCCTTATTTTCCCGATGCACTTTTTTCCGTGGACAATTATCATCTGTGGCGTGCGGACCGAAATTCTTCTGGAGGCACAGGACGAAAGACCATCTTTAAGCAATCGCTTAATGGTGGCTTAATGGTAGCTTAATGGTGGCTTATAGAAGTTAATTCCTTTAAGCCACCATTAAGCTGCAGTTTCTAGGTGCTTAATGTCCAAACTTCATTAAGCTACCATTAAGCCACCTTTAAGCTGCAGCTTAATGGTGGCTTAATGTCCAAACTTAATTAAACCACCTTACGCATCCAGTATCAAGTCTTTAAACTAACTTGTTAAGTTTGAAGTTGTTTCAGAATCATTTACGCAAATACTAATTCAATTCATTTTTTTTTTCTCGCTATTTCTAACATTTTCGTCAATGCGTATAAACTCGGGAACTGAGAACAGCTTCACCAAATGCCTTAAAATTTTCGCTCCCTAAATCAGTTTGTTTGAATACTTGTATTAAAATTATTTTTATCCATAAATACATAGTACGAGTATATATTAAATTAAAAAAAAAAAATCACATATTTTTGTTTCGTGTTTGTAGAGCCACGTTCCGCTGCCGAATTCATAGGAAATGTTGTAATTAGAGTCATTTTCTACTGGAATATCTCTAAGTCTCTTAATTTTGTGCGGGGGGGGGGGGGGTTAGAGAAATGTTTAAGATATAAAAAAAAAAATATAGGTATAGATTATATTGCCAATCATTGAATTGCTTCATGAATAATTTGAATTAATTCGTGGTTAAGTGCCATTATTTTTTCCTTTCTTTTAAAATACTGCACAAGTAAGAATTTATTTAAAATAATGCAGAAGTAAGAATTTATTTAAAATAATGCAGCAGTAAGAATTGATCAAAATATAGTCAGTCTTTAACGATTATTATTTCAAAATCAATTTTCAGAAGAACAGCCGATCAGATTAAACAGGGCATCCGACCAGATTTATACACATTGAGAAGCGGGATAAAATAATCGGTGTACAATATATCGACTAGTTAGACAATAGACCTTAATTAGGTGTCCCCACCAGTCCCCAGTCAATTAACAGGAAACTATACATGGGAACGTACAGTGACAGATTTTGATGATATATTATTTTTACAAAACTTAAAATTTACGCAAGCATATAACAAATTAGAAATTATGATTGTACACAAAAAGACAATTATTTTGATACCCATAATGATATAAAAAGAATTAAAACTGAAGATGATATGTTACAAAAATATTTTAGAACTTGATTGTTACGCAAAGATTGTCAAAAATCGTAAATATACGCAGCATATTTATAAGAACTATAATCTGTTTTTTTTTTTCCCATCGTTCTCTTTCGATGATATATTCCTTATTAATAACAAAATTTTGTTATATCTGTTGAATTTCAATCGTTTCATGCTTATAAATCTGCGAATAACAGAACGAGGAATTCAGTTACTTAAAATCAAAAAGTTGTTTCAAAGGATCACACCGAACTCCGGTCCACGGTCAAGAAATATTAACTTAATCTAAAACTTTAAAAAAAAAATTTCTTCTTTAAAATAAATAAATAAATAAATAATATATATATATATATATATATATATATATATATATATATATATATATATATATATATATATATATATATATATAACTCTGATTTAAGGACTAGGGAGACCAGACCATTATATATGGCTTAAGGAGACAATATACAGATTTTTTAAATTTGCTTTTTTCTAAAAAGAAATACCAGATCAAAGATCTATAGAACACTATTTAGTCGACTCTTGCTTTAATTTTTCATAATAAATGCCTCCTAAAAATATATGAAAAAAATGGTCTCCTTAATATTTTATGTTTCTCTCATATGACTTAAGGAGACCAGTGTATATTTTTTATAAATATAACTTGTGGTTTAAGTAGACCATTTTTCTTTCACAGTAATTTCACATATTATGCATTAATTAACATATTGTTTCCAACCAGAATAGTTGCGGATGGTCATTAGTCAAGGTCAGCAGAAAGATATTTGTGCTAATGTGACTCAACATGATCAGTACAAAACTTTGAATTAAACTAAAGTCATTGCACAAGTGACTTAAATAGAGAGTAGTTGCCCCAGTGGTTAGAGCGTCTAGAGTAGTGAAGTAAGGAGTTGATCCTTACGTCGCAGGTTCAAATCCCACTGTGGGATGGGGAGGCCGGTCCTTCAGATGAGAC